GACCAGTGGTGAGAGTGGCGATACTGGGAGGGTGGAGGGAGAGTGGGGTGGAAAGGAGGAACTGATTACAAGGATCTACGTATAACCCCCTCCCTGGGGTATGGACTACAGAACAGCAGGTGAAGGGAGACATTGGGCAGTATAAGATATGACATAATAATAATTTGTAAACTAATAAGGGTTTCTGAGGTAGGGGTGAGAGGGGAGGGAAGGGAAAAAAAATGAGCTGATACCAAGGGCTCAAGTAGAAAGCAAATGTTTTGAGAATGATGATGGCAACAAATGTGCTTCAGACAATGGAATTGTATGAGCCCCAAATAAAATTATTAAATTTTAAAAAAGCAAGGAAAACAAGAAAAAATGATTTGTTTGAACAATGAATATATTATAGACTGAAGAAAGAAAAAAGATAAATCAATCTTAGAACTGGGTCATGGTCGTAGTGGGGAGGAAGTATTCAGGAACTAGAGGAAGGATGTGTGATTAATCGATGCTATATTATACCTTGGTTGACTCACCCCTTCATTACACCACCTCTGTGGGGGGATATACAATTATCTTCAGATGGGCTTTGGGTCTCCACTCTAACCCCCCTCTTTCACATCAATATAGTTGTTTGTTTCAGATCTTTTGATAACTGTTGCCTGATCCAGATGGCACCTCATGATCACACAGGCTGGTGTGCTTCTTCCATGTGGGCTTATTTGCTACCCTGCTAGATGGCTGCTTGTTTGACTTAAAGCTTTTAAGGCCCCCGATGCTCTATCTTTTGATAGCTGGGGACCATCAGCTTTCTTCACATTGGCTTGTACACACATTTTGTCTTCAGCGATTGTTTGTCAGGAAGGAAGGTAAGTATCAAAGAGTGCCAGGTTATCAGAACAAAGTGTTCTTGTGTTAAGGGAGGCCTTGAGTAGAGGCCCAAAGTTCATCTGCTATCTTAGTACTTATCATATACATATATGTACATTGGCCTCTATCCCTTTCATTATAAATTAATATATTTACATATAGACATACCTATAGCTATACCTCTATAAATAGCTTTTGCCTCCTATTTATTTCCTCTATTGCCTTTCACCTTGCTCCTAGCCCACTATCATACTCACCCTCCATTCGACTCTCAGTATTTCCTCTAGTTTCTGAATACTTCCTCTTTCCCACTTACCATGATCCAGTTCTAACATACAAATCTGGCTAGACCAGAGAACACACATTGGTACAGATAAGAGTTCTCAACACAGGGAATTCAGGAAAGATAAACCCTTCAGGAACAGTGATCGGAGTAGCAATGGCATGAGGGCAGGGGGAGGGCCAGGAAGGGGGAAGGGTGAGAAAAGGAGAACCCAACATAATTGTATATATAGCCCCCCCCATCCTGCAAAGGGACAAATAATGGAAATGTGGGTGAAGGGAGAAAAAGGACAGTGTAAGACATGAAATAACAATAACAAAATATAATTGATCAAGGATACGGGAGGAGGGAGGGGGGGAGGGGGGAAAGAGGAGCTTATATCAAGGGTTCAAGCAGAAAATGTCTTGGA